TAGTAAGTATGGAGTATTAAAATTGAATTAGAAGGAACTATTAGTATTAAATTAAAGGAGAATAGGTGTAATGAATAAAGAATAAAGTTTATCTATATTATGTAGATGTTAGTAATGAAGTTTTATTTAACAAAAAACAAACTCGTTCTTTGTTAAACTTAAAATAAGTAAAGAAAATTAGTTAAATTATAAATAGATATAGCAACATACTTGAAATTTTATAAGTAAGGCTTTTTTTTTTTAGAGGTGACTATACTAGAATTGATGCAATAATTTTTTTTTTGCATTGACATTTTTCAGTTACTCATACTATTTGTTTAGTTTACATAAATTTGATAAAAGTTAACCATTAATAGTATGTTTAAATTTAAATCATAAGTCTGATATATTATACAACAAATAAAAAGATTATAAATATCTTTTACACGTATGATACTTATTTTTTTTAAAAGTGAAATATATGATAAGAAGTAGTAAATGAAAGTCTAAAGTATCTAAACCTTTAAAAAGACAAAAATCAATAAGTTCTTTAGCTTTACTAGCTGATACTGAATCAAATATATCAACTAAGATAAATGAAACAAACTCTGGAGAATATTAACTATTAGTTGTTTGGAAATTTTTTCATTGAAAAAAACTAAATTACCTAAATACTTCTCAGCTAAATATAAATTTTATCTATTTGAATAGGGAAAAGATAAACTATTAAGGCTTGAAACATATCTTGTATTGGAGTATTCTCAAGTAGAAGATCATATTTAGCAAATATATTTACTTCATGTAGCTAGGCATAATAGTTTTGAGGAGAAAACACAATCTAATATTAAAAAACAAAAATTAAATAATAAGCAATCTAGTTTGTCAGATTTTTTTCCACAAAAATTAGATAGTTTACTAGAAGGGCAAATTAATTCTATAAATATCACATTATTAAAAGCCTTTGTAGTTTGCAGTATTCTATTTTTTGTTATAAAAAATCTATTTTTTATTGATCTCCTTCAACTTTTGTATTCAAATTATGAGCTACTATCAAGTGAAGTATTGTCAGGAAGATTATTAGATCAAGAATATTCTAAGGTAATAATTAAATATGAAAGCATTTTTCACGAATCAAATAATTTTATACTAGGTATTATTTTAATAATATTTAATTTTTATTATTATATTATTATCTAATATTAATTTTATTATTTGTAGCATTAGATAGTTGGACTTCTCCTAATAGAAATTCAATTTATAGTTTTATTATTTTGACTTCTATGTATCACAAATATCTATATTCTTTATACGATTTTTCTGCAAATTTATATACTGCAGAATTTCTTGTGAATAAAGTTAGTTTAGTTATAGATGAAATTAGCTAAAATAAATTTTTAGCAATAATAACAGATAATGCCAACAATATGAAGCTTACCTGATAAATTATTTATAAAAAATATCCTAATATCTTGAATTTGAATTGCATTGCTCACTGTATTAATCTTATATCAAAGGATATTCTTAGTAAGTACTATATTATAAAATATATAATATACATTTATTAATAGTACTAACTTGAATAAATTTAATATTTCAATATTAATTTTAGAACATATATTTAGCTCACATTTAATAAAAGAGTGTAATCAAGTTGTAAATTATTTTAAAAAATCATATCAACCTAATGCATATTTACAATAAGCTATTAATAATTTACAAATTTTTGGAGATAGATTAAAAAAGTTTGTTGATAATAGATGGGTTTCAGTATATGAATATGTTTTATCTATTAATAGGTTTGAACATGCTTTTATTAAAGTAAGTTATAATTTGTAAAAATAAAATTTTTTTAAACAAATAACTAATTAAATTCTTTATTATTAGATAATAAATGATAATTCAGATCTTATTAAAAACTGTAATGTAAAACAATTTTTAAAATACTCTTTCTTTTTTTTTGATCTCAAAATTTTGATCAAAATCTTAGCTTCTGTTTATATATTAATACTAAACTTAGAATCCTAGTTTACGAATTTAGCAGATAGTTTTATATAATTTGTTTATCTCGCAATAGCAATTAAAAGAGTTCCAAATTTTAGAATTAATGAATTTAAAAATTATTGTATAAGAATCTTTAATAAAAGATAAAACGATTTTGATTCAGATAATTATTTACTTGCATACTTTTTATATTCTAGATATTGTGATAAGTTTGTATATATTTAAATATAATTAAAATTAAATTTATATTTACTTAATTTTTTTATTAAGTGCTAAATTATGTGAGCAACAATTCCAAGTAATTGCAAAAACAGTAATTAATATATGGAAAGAAGAAAGGCATGACAAATATGAATGCACAAATCTTATAGCTTATATGAGACAATTTCATGAAAAAAAAAGTAAATTTAATTTGCCATATAGTTTTGAAACAGATACACCTTTATTATAGTGGCTAACAAACTTTACTAGTGCAAGATCAATTGGACAATTTGCAATTAAAGTTTTTTCAATTACACCTCATTCAGCAGATTGTGAAAGAACATTCTCTGCATTAAGCTGGTTATATAAAAAATGATGTCAATAACTTTCTCTTTCCTGAATTCAAACTATGACACAAGTTCAATCATTTTATATCTCAAATATAGAAAATAAATTAGCTTATTTTGAAAAAACACTATCGACTAATGATTTACAAGAGTTGGTGACATCAGCAACTTTTTTAAGTGAATCTAGTGATGAAAATATTATTGAACAGTTAGAAATAGAAATAGAACAAAATTTAGAAAATAGTAATCATCTAAGTATTGAGAGTATTGTAAATTTGAACTATAAAATATTTCAAGATAATGAATCAGATGTTGATAGTGAGAAATTACAAATTAATAGCGATGAAGAGATTAATGAATCAGATAACGAATTTGCAGTAAGTAAAAAAGGTCAAGGTATATTCGATTTCAATTCTACAGATTTAGCAACAGATTTAGTAAAAGAATGAGAATATAATAATTTAGATATTGAAAGTGCAGACGAAGATATGAGTGATAATTTAGATTTGAGTGATAATTTAGATATGAGTAATAATTTAGATAATGAAGAGGATATAGATAATGAAGAGGATGTAGATTTTGTTTCAGTATCAGATAGTGAAAATTTACCTATTGCACTTCGAAAGGCATGTTGTGAACATTAAAATAACAATAGAATATATTCTAGTTGGACTTAGATTATAAATCAATTTTAATAAATAATTTTCACTTGCTTGCTTAAATATATACTGATAAATTACTATATATAATTGTATCTTAATTTGTTAATAACTATAAATAACTATTATTATTTTATTTTTTAATTATTTGTCAATCACCAGTAGATTTTATTAATAATTAGTATATTCAACTTTTTTTTTAGAACAAATCAATATTAATTTTAAAAGGTATAAAGTTTACATATTATAAAGTCTATTACAAGAAAGAAGGTTAACTATATTTTGATATTTATTGGCCAAATTAATTCGTCAAGAGTTTCGCCATTCGTCAGAGGTTTCGCCATTCGTCAAGGTTTCGTCAAGCAACTAATTTGACGAAACCTTTCGTCATTTCAAAAATAGTTTCGTCAGGTATCATTAACCCAAATCCACAATATCACTTAATCAAACTTATAATAATACTCTCAATGTATCACAAAGCTACCCTCAAATGCTGTTTATCATCATGCCACAGAATCATTGACAAAACATAGACTTTCAATTGTAGAATCAACTAAGAATAGAAAATAAAATTGATGCAGGTATAATTGAAAAAGTTATTTTGCAGGCTGAAGATGAGCTTAAGCTGGTTGCTAAAATG